TCCCTCTTCAACCAGTCCCTATCACTTCACCGAAACTGCTCACTTACAGCCCCTGCAAAGCTAAATCCAGGGGTCAATTTTTTGGCTCATCTTACCTGATCAGTGCTCGGGATGTGACACAGTGCCTCCCCTGCTCTGTCCTAAAGTGCTTTTACCCTAGGCTTCCAAGACACCACACCCTCTGGATTTTTCTTTTACACACAGGTTGCTTCCCCATCATCTACTGTCCTTGTTCCTCTTTTTCTCCTCTTATCACTGAGGGCAGCAGGACCTCTGCTCTTTTATTCCTACTCTCTCCCTTCTAGGTTGCTTCAGTCTCACAGTTTTTAAAAGTTCACCCCCCATGCTTGTGACTCCCAGCCAGACCTCTCTTCTGAGGCCCATGCGTAATCCAACTCCTTAGCTGGCACCACCACATGAGTTTCTAAAAGACACGGAAAAATCAACATTCCAGACCAAACATTCAGTCCAGACTGAAGTCCAGATTCTTCTCCACCACCAGCTGTGCCCCCCAACCCCCCACCGCCGCCCCCGACTCCCTATCCCATCAGTAACTGGCAACCCATCCTTCCTTTCTGGAATAAATCTCTGCAATCAATTAACCTTGATGGATCACTCTCCTTTCCTCACACTCTGCCTAAATCTGTTGGTGCTACCTTCACAATTTACCCAGCAGCTGACTATTTCTCACCTAGATTGCTGAAGTTCTCTACTAACAGTGCTCCCACCTGCTTTTTTAAAGATTTATTTTATTTATGCATACAAGACCTGGGGTGTAGGCCAGAGGTGAGGTGGGGCGAGAGGATTCACCGGGGACAGTAAGGGAGCAGAACAGTCAGGTCAACTGCAATACACTGTTGAGGGGAGCAGCGGGCGAGACAGGAGAGGTCTGCTGTGCCATGTGGGTCACCTCCCCAGTCCAGGATGGAACTCATGCAGAGACTGTGGATAACTTGTTAGCCAAGACTAACCCCTGTGCCACCAGGGAGGCCCAGCATAGCATTTTCTTATACAACTGTAAGGTCACTCTCATTCCTAACTAAACCACAGCTTCTTCACAGCATTATCTACTACATTGTTTCTTTGATCATCTCAAAAGTATTTTATTTGTAGTTGGTTTCTTTGAATTAGGATCTGCTTACAGAGGCTTTTATGCCTCTTTAGAGTTTTCATCTGGAGGAGTTCCCTCTCCTTTTTCCCCAAAACTAGAAAACCAGTTCTGTTTTCCTATAGAATATTTCCGTAGTCTACATTTGTCTCTTTGCTTCTTTTTCTCCTCTATTTCCTGCATTTTATGTTAGTTCTGAGACCGTCATTAGATGGTAGGGGTGTTGAAAGATAAACGGTCGTATTTTAAAATGTAAGAGTTTGAGTAAAAATCAATTCCAGTTGGCAGTGCCAGGCCGAAAGTGGCAGGGAGCACTCCACCCACAGGAACAGGGGAGAGACTTGCAGAGAGAAGAGGTAGAACAAAGCACAGAGATTATTGATCAGCGATCACATAAATCCCAGTTGGCTATGATTTGTTGCCCTTAGGTTTTAATTTCCTAACCTTGAGGCATTTAGAGTCTTAGATTTTGGTTCACTCACTGAGGCCATCAGGCATCAGTCACTGCAGTCTAATGGCCTTTGTGGGGCAGAAGTGTTTCCCTTCTCTGCTAGGTTCTTTGGTCTAAGAATTAATTGGGCATAAGACACTGAGAGGAGAGAAGGAAATTTAATTCTGGATGTAGAGGAGCCCTATAAAAATATGAGACTCGAAGAAGAGACCAAAAGCAGGAAGGATTTATACCTTTGAGAATTTACTAGAAGAATAGGTTTGGGTTTGGGGTGTTCAATGAGTGAAGTATCACGGTTTATTTTTATGACCCGCTGGGCCCCAAATTCTCTACTCTGGTGAGAAGGATGTCTCTGCCCTGATGGAGATTTATTTCTTGCTTTCAGGGGGTCTGAGGAGGGTCAGAGGACTCTTAACCCTGGCTGTTTTTCAAATAACTTTGTTTCAAAATAATGAGTACCACCAAAGTGGCATATTTGGGGGTAGTATATTCTCCTTCACTTCCTTATTTAATTTAGTAAAGGCAAGACTCCTTCCTAGGTCAGCATGGGTTTCCTGTTCCATTAGCTCAGGAGCACTGCGCCCAGTGGTCCCTTGTTAACGACACTGTTTGATCAATGTCAGGACACACGTGGAGGGCCCAGTATGAAAGGACCATCAGGCCATCTTCAAAACTGTTGCTTCTCTCTTTGCTTGACCCTCTCTGTCCCCTCCCAAGGGTCACTGTCATCCATGTGGCAGCTCGGGCCTTCTACTCTTAGTTTCCCATCCATACATCCTCATCCAGAAGGAACCCTAACAGCTTTCCGGCTCTCGGGGCATTCTGCCTGACTTATTGGTTGTGTTTGTGCCCACTCTTTTTAGACCAAAAACTTTGGCCCCTTTAGGACAAGACTGGCTTATGGATCTTCTATTGCTATTTCCCTAAGCAGTGTGTTAGCACCAGAGCACAGCTCCTGAGTCAGATTGTCTTTATTCTGCACTGCTTATTGGTTGTGTGCTGAGGAGAAACGATATGGCTTCTCAGTGCCTCAGGTTTCTGCACCTTAAAAGTAGGGATGGTGGGGCCTCCTTGGTGGTGCAAGGAGTTAAGCGTCAGCACTATGAAGCAGTTACTGTAGCACTGATCCCCAGCCAGGAGGGTGGCCCACATGGCGCAGCAGACCTCTCCTGTCTCGCCTGCTGTTCCCCTCAGCAGTGCATTTCAGTCTGCCTGTTCTGCTCCCCGCTCTGTCTCTGGTGAATCCTCTCACCTACCCCTCCCCACTTCTGCCTGTACCCTACCTCTTGTATGCATAAATAATTTTTTTTTTTAAAAAGTAAGAATGGTAATGACAACTATTCTATGGGGCTGTTATGAGGAGTTAATTCTTAATAAAAATTACTTCTTTTCATCGTTATTTTGTATAGTTGGCTATTTGTAAATAATTGCTCATTGTATTATTCAGACATTGGTACATCTCCTGATTGCTTCATGCTCAAGAATGAAGCACTGGCTGGTTTTCTATAATTCAAAATGTTCTATGATCCTTGACCCCATGGGTATAAAAGATTATCTTTCTGTTAGGGGGAAATGATGTCCTGAGCTAATCCCATGCAGGCTTTGTGGACCCCACCCCCACTCCAGACTAAAGCCATCAAGACATTGGGAAAGACAAATCCCATCACCACCAAGGGAGTGTGGCTGGGACCTGAGGGTGGAGTTGGGTAGCCAGGTTGGATATAAAAACCAAACACGTGGGCCTTGGGCGCTCTCTGGCTCGCGATCGCTCGCCTCCTGGCTTTACCGCTCCTGGCTGGCGGCCAACTCTGAGAGCACCATTTTGGGATTCCTGATCGGCGGATCGGGTAGGACTCATCTAAAACTTTGTCTCCCACTTTTCTCCCAGAGCTGTACATGTTATAGGACAGGGAGAGGGGCTCCCCCTTTCCTGGGGACCACCCTGTTACATACATTTCCTCATTTCCCCTTCCCTTGTAAATAAACCTTTTATTAACCTTTCGCGTGTGCCTGCAGTAGAGCATTGATAAGTCCTTTTAAGCGCGCGGGTGAGGACCCACAGTCAGGCACCCCGTTTTGTATCGGGGTTGCTCTACAACAGTTCCAGTCCTCTGCCTTCCACAAGAGAAAAGTCACATTGTTGTTCTCACCTTACAGAGGAGCTAACTGTGGCTCTCAGAGGCCAAAGCATTCAAGTAAGGGAGGAGAAACTGAAGATTGAACGGGAGATGAGAAATGGCAGGAGATGGGATAAATCGTTCATGGTGATTGTACAGCGAAAATAACCAAAGTGATTCAGCTATCAGACTTCCTGCTTCCAAATCTAGAGTTCTTTCCATTATATCATAATCTTAATCAATTTAACTTCTCTTTATTAGATCTTCATATCTAGTTGGTGACAGTGACCGTGCAATGAGCAAAGATTAAATCAAGGGGAAAGGCTGGAAGGTCAGTTTTGTAGGACGTCTTCCACAGCAGTTCCTTTGCTCTCAGTTTTGATTTTTTTTTTTCTTTTGCCTGTCATGACAAATATTTCTAGTGGAAAGAAAGTGAAAACCATGTTTCTCCTTGTTACAGGGCAGGGAGAGGGGCACCGCAGAATCCCCAAACCTGACTGCTCTAAATAGGATCTGTTGCAGAGCAACCCCGATACAAAACGGGGTACCTGACTGTGGGTCCTCACCCGTGCGCTTTAAAGGACTTATCAATGCTCTACTGCAGGCACACGTAGAAGGTTAATAAAAGGTTTATTTACAAAAAAAAGAAAAATAAAAAAATGTACAGCTCTGGGAAAAAAGTAGGAGACAAAGTTTTAAATGAGTCCCACCTAATCCACTGATCAGGAATCCCAAAATGGCGCTCTCAGAGTTGGCCGCCAGCCAGAAGCGGTAAAGCCAGGAGGTAAGCAATCGTAAGCCAAAAAGCCCAAGGCCCACGTATTTAGTTTTTATATCCAACCTGGCTGCCCAACTCCACCCTCAGGTCCCAGGCACCCTCCCTTTGGTGGTGATGGAATTTGTCTTTCCCAATGTCCTGATGGCTTTAGTCTAAAGTGGGGGTGGGGTCCACAAAGCCTGTATGGGATTAACTCAGGACATCATTTCCCCCTAACAGTTCTGCCATCCGCTGCATCAAGACAAAACATGTAAGACCTTTAATGAAAAGGAACTTTAATACAATTAGGGAACAATACAGAAAAGACAAAGAATATAGTTTCTAAATCAAGCACCCAAAGTTACCCTTCCCCTAGTGGGTAAAAGTCCACCCAAACAGGATTGGCCCAGAGCAAGGCCCCAAAGCCTGTCACAAGTCTAAAGCACTGCCCAGGGAGGACCCACAGAGAAGGATCAGAAACAGCCAGACAAGTTTGTGAGGAAAAAAGCAAAAGCAAAATCAAGATAAAAGCCGCCATTGTCACCTCCCCACAGGTCTCTCACCCACATCTATGTCAACCAGTCCACGACCAAAAGGCAAGTGCAGTTTCTTCACATGTCTCTCCATTCCATGTGCCTCCTCCAGGTCTCCTTTTGGCTCTCCATCCTGCTTCTTTTCTTCTCCAGACTCTCCAGCTTCTTCTCCTTCCTGCTCAGCTCCACCCTCCTTTGTGGGGGGCAGGGAATCTGGAACTTCCCCTTTTCCTGGACACCACCCTGTTACACCTTTACTTGAGAGTGTGAGGAGCTACAGAGCTGTGATCAGATGACCTGGACCCTGGAAGGAGCACTCACCTACATCCCTCAATCCTGCTTGTGTCAAACCAGGCAATTTAGCACACATTAAGATGCCCTAGGATGTCCTTCTTCAAGAAAAGTACACTTGCCCACCCAAGCCTAACCCTCCTATGTTTGCATACTTAACCTCTTCCATCTCCACCAGCCCCTACATCTGAAAAAGAACTTTGAGAGCCTTCTTTCCCATCAGTCAAGGTGTGGTCTCCAAGATAACTTCATTAAAGTGCAAATGGACCCTAAGTCCATTGTGCCACTTAACAATGATTCAAAAACTCTTCTAATCGGTCTGATTAAGTCTAGGAGAAGATCCTAACATGTGCTAATCATCCTTTTAACAAAGGATCCCAACCTTCTGTAGGCAATAGTAGTAAACTAGTTTTGAGACTATTGTTGTTTTTTTCTGTGGTATTTACTTTTACAGTTCCTTTGTATTTGTGGCAAATACTTTTCCATTTTATCGTATAGCATAAAATTTTCTTTTAAAATACACTTAGCTTTTTAGCTAAGTGAATATTTAACAAAAGTTATTAAATATATAGGGAATGCAGGTGATGAGGTTTTTGGAGTTAGTGCGGGATGTTCTCCATCACAGGTAGTACCCAGTAGTGGCAAAAACTGGACAGACTGCAGATAACTTGTCATAGAGTTATGTCATTGTTGACAGTAATAAGTTAGCTTAAGTTTTAAAAATTAATTTAAAATTATAAAATAATGTAGCCAATTCAGAGGAAGTATGGAAAACAGGGTAATGAACTACAAATTTTCTATTCATGAAGATTATCCCTGATCCCATTTACATTTCAATGTTTACTGGGAAGGGTCTTTGAGAGTAGGGTCCCTGGGATAAATGAGACATGGGAGGCATTTTAATAGGGTGAGAAGGGGATTTTTTTTTTTTAAGATTTATTTATTTATGCATGCAAGAACTGGGGCACAGGCCAGAGGAGAGGTGGGGGGGGGGCGAGAGAATTCACCTGAGACAGAGCGGGGAACAGAACAGGCGAATCCACTGAAATACACTGCTGAGGGGAGCAACAGGCGAATTAGAAGAGGTCTGCTGTGCCATGAGGGTAACTCCCTGGACGGGGATCGAAATCATGCTGCAGTGGCTGTGGACAGCCTCATAGATTGCGCCTTTCTAAATTACAACATGCGGGCCTCCCTGGTGGCACAGGTGGTTGAGCGCTGCACTGTGAAGCTGTCCGCAGCCTCTGCAGCGAGGGTTCGATCCTGGCCAGCAGGAGAGAATCCCACATGGTGCAACAGACCTCTCCTGTTGTGCCTGCAGCTCCCCTCAGCAGTGTATTTCATCAGTCTACCTGTTCTGTTCCCTGCTCTGTCTCTGGTGAATCCTCTCACCCTCCCACGCATCTGGCCTGTGCCCTGGTTCTTGTATAAAATTAATGGATCTTAAAAATAAATAAATAAATAATAAATTACAACGTGCTTCTCCTAGAACAGGGGTGTGATCTAGGGAGGTTATTTTAAGAACAAAAGATTAAAAAGGCAGAGGGGCGAATGTAAAGAGCATCTTTCCCTAAGTTTGCTGAGTACTGCATTGTCTGGGTAATCCAGGAGGAATCATTTGAAAGAAAAATCTATTACCTAAGTGCCTAATTGCCCGTTGAACCCTCTATTCTCAAAGACCTGCGACACCTTGTGGGAAAGATGAAGAATAACTGAAAAACAGGGGATGGGAGTGAATAGATTATCAATTCATTATCTCAGAGGAACTGTCACTTTCTCAGAGAAAATGTCACACCATGAGCAGAAAAATAAGTTTTTATTTAACATTATTAAATTTTATTTATATAACATTGCATTCTAGGGCCTCCCCGGTGGCGCAGCGGTTGAGCGCTGGGTTGCGAAGCTGCCCGCAGCCTCTGCAGCGCCGGTTCGATCCCCGGCTGCTCCCTGGCCGCCGAGCGAGGGTCCCACATGGCGCGCAGACCTCTCCTGCCGCCCGCTGCTCCCCTCAGCAGTGTACTTCGGTCCTTCTGCCTGCTCTGCTCCCCGCTCTGGTTCTGGTGAGTTCTCTCACCCTCCCGCGCTTCTGACTGTACCCAGCGCTTGTATAAATAAATAAATCTTTAAAAAAAAAAAAAAAAAAAAAAAAAAACATTGCATTCTAACATTATATGTCAGAACAATTTTTTTTTGATCTAGTGAAAGAATACACCCTATTCAGAAGGTCAGAAGTTTTCATGAATAACAAGTATTAAATGAATTAAACTAGGAGTCCATTCATTTGAAGTGGCATCAATGACTACATAAGTAAACCAAAACTTAAACCTGTAATGCCTCAAGATTAAGAAATCAAAACCTAAGTATCACAGTCAACAAGTCTTACCCAGATAAGGAAATTCCTTCAGCTATAGCCAATAACAATTCCCTTGCTTTGCTTCTGTATCTTCTTTATGAAAATCTTTCTCCTGACTCCTGTTGGTGGAGAGTTTTTAACCACTTACTGTTAGGCACTACATGATTAGAATTCATTTTTGCTCAAATAAGAACATTTTTAATGTTTCGGTTTTTCCTTTAACAAAATCTCTCTCAATAAATGTGGATGATAGGAATTTGAAAGTTACTTAGTAAATGTAGAAAGGATATATCAGAACATGGCATTAGAGCAGAGATTTATTAAGCATCCATTAAATGTCAGGTACTATAGAGAGTAGCAAACAAATAATGCATATAGAGGATCCCTATCCCAACACATGGTAGTGCTGGGGGGAAAGGATGTCCTGAACAGACTCCACAAGCAGGTTTTATGGACCCCACCGCCACCCCAGACCAACAATCCAAGATACCAAGAACTACAAATCCCATAATGTCATCACCACCAAAGAGAGGATTGCTGGGAACTGAGGATGGAGTTAAGCAGGCAGGATTGGTATTTAACTAGACACGTGGGCCTTGGGGGTCCTTGGTTTTTCACTGGCTTTCAGAATGCTATTGGGGTTCCAGCTCAGTGGAGCTGGTAGGACACATTCACTAATTTATTTTTGTCTTTCTCTCTGAGTCATCCCTTTCTTCATTTCCCTCTACTTTTTTCTAAATAAACACTTTATTAACCTTTTTGTGTGTGCCTGTAGTTGAGTATCAGTATAAGTCCCTTTTAAGCATGCGTGAGGATATACAGTCTGGCCAACCCATTTCACATTGGGGTTGCCCTGTAATAGTTGGATTTCATCCTTTTTACAGCTGAAAAATATTCCATTGTCTATATACTACTGCATCTTCTTTATCTACCGTAGGGGCAGGATTTGGCACTGAGCAGGTTTTCTGATCCAGCAGACCGGGTAAAGGAGGAGTCAGAGGCCTCAGTGGTTTTTGCAGGTCTTTTATTTAGAGTTACTAGGCATATGGCAGGCAAGGGTGCTGGGGGGCTGGGAGGACTGGCAGTCCTCCCAGCCCCCAGCAAATCCTCACTCTATCTGGGCTCTCTCTGGCGTTCTCTCTGCTTCTCTTCTTCTCTCGTCTTCCATTCGTTCTTGGCTTCTGCTGGCGTCCCCGTGACGCCGCCCTTATAAACTCAGTCTCTCAGCCCGGGTGTACCCACTCCAGGTGCTGCCATCAGGCATGCATCCAGGACCACAGGATTCCCTCATCTATCCTAATGGCGGGAGGGCAGAAAAGCCTGATGCTTTTACCTTACCCTACATCTACATATCCACTTTGTTCACTTAAGTTGTTTCTCTTTTATTTAAGATTTATTTTTATTTATTTATGCATATAAGAACTGAGGTGTAGGCCAGAGATGCAGGGGATGCTGAGAGGATTCACCAGAGACAAAGTGTGGAGCAGAACAGGCGGATCTACTGAAATACATTGCTGAGGGGAGCTGGGAGTGAGGCAGGAGAGGTCTGCTGTGTCACGTGGGTCACCTCCCTGGCAGGGGAAGCTTGATAGTGCTGAGATTTTAACCCTTGCGCCACCAGGGAGGCCCCGTTTCTAACTCTTGGTTATTGTGAATAATGCTCCAATGGACATGGTGGATACATAGACCTCTTTGAATTAGTATTTCTGTATTTCTCAGACAGTTGGGTCATATGGTATTTCTAGTGTTAATTTTTTGAGAAATCTCTATACCATTTTTTTCATTATAGCTGCAGCAATTTACATTCCCATCATGAAGAAGGCAGAAAGATCACTTGCACATGAGCAATCAAACATTATCACAAACTGTCTCAGCTCCTGTGTGTTTTTTTAGGAACCCATTTCAGTGGAGTCTGATCATACTTCTTTTTTACTCAACACTCTTTAAAATATTCATCTCAAATTCTCCTCGCTGTTTGCATGGATTATAAAATATATCATGAATTTTATGCAAACATAATCAAGCCCCCACAAAGTCTGCAACCCAACTCCCTGCAGTGTGGGTTTGATCCCAGCAAGCGGCGGAGATACACACATGGCGTGCAGACCCCTCCTGTCTTACCCGCTGCTCTCCCCTCAGCAGTGTATTTCAGTCAGTCTGCCTGTTCTGTTCCCCGCTCTGTCTCTGGTGAATGTTCTCACCCTCCCGCACATCTGGCCTGTACCCCAGTTCTTTTTTTTTAAAGATTTATTTATTTATTTATTTATTTATTTATTTATTTATTTATTTATTTATTTATACAAGCACTGGGTACAGTCAGAGGCGCGGGAGGGTGAGAGCATTCACCAGAGCCAGAGCAGGGAGCAGAGCAGGCAGAAGGACCGAAGTACACTGCTGAGGGGAGCAGCGGGCGGCAGGAG